GGCGGGCAGGCGCAGCCCGCCCTCCGCCCGCAAAAGTGCGGGTCTGCGGGCGGGTTTGAGGTCTACAGTCTGGACCTCGCTATGTAAAAGTATTTGAACAAGTCATTCGATACCCACAAAGAATTAGTATGAGGGTGACAATGATTTATAAAGTATTACGAGATACAGCTTGTTTCAATCTACAGATTGCGCCGGTGTATGGCTAGGCTTCCGCAGGGCCCACAGAGCCCAAAGCCCAACCTAGCCCAACCCACGAATGGGCTGGGCTTTGGGCCTTTTTTTCGGGCCCACGGCCCATCGTGGGGGCCGAATTGGGGCCCATTCCTTGATAGACAGTGCAAACATGCCATTTCCCCGTGACTTCATAATTAATGGATTTTTTGTCTATAATTTTTGATAATTCTTTTACAGCCTTTAGCTCTTAAGTGGACAAAAACCTAGAGCTTATTAGCTTTAGATTCAGAGTATTTTCATAATATTACTTGTTGTAGCGACAGTGTAGCAATATTCAATAGATGAACAACAAGTGTAAAAAACAGTCATTTATTTTGATGATCCATCGGCTTTATGAACGCCAGGACTGACATTTAATGCAATAGTGGGCTTTCGTGGGGGCTCAATGGGGCCTGACCATGGGCCGGGGGTTGGGGTTTGGGCATAAAGGTTCGACCCCCGCCCGGACCCCGGGCCCAAAGTTGGGCTTTGCGGAAGCCTATGTATGGCTTCGGCCTTTTTGTACTTGCCCTGGCTTTCAAGGACTGAACCAAGGTTGCTGACGCGGGTGAGCGTGTCTGGATTTTCTGGCCCCAGCACCTTCTCGAACCCTTCTAACTCCCGCGGGTGCATAGCTTCGGCCTCTTCGTACTTGCCCTGGCTTTCAAGGACTGAACCAAGGTTGCTGACGCTGGTGAGCGTGTCTGGATGTTCTAGGCCTAGCACCTTCTCGAACCCTTCTAACACCCGCCGGTGCATAGCTTCGGCCTCTTCGTACTTGCCCTGGCTATTAAGGACTGAACCAAGGTTTCTAACGCTGGTGAGCGTGTCTAGATGTTCTGGCCCTAGCACCTTCTCTAACCCTTCTAACTCCCGCCGGTGTAGAGCTTCGGCCTCTTCATACTTGCCCTGGCTTTCAAGGACTGAACCAAGGTTGCTGACGCTGGTGAGCGTGTGTGAATGTTCTGGCCCCAGCACCTTCTCGAACCCTTCTAACCCCCGCCGGTGCATAGCTTCGGCCTCTTCGTACTTTCCCTGGCTTTCAAGGACTGAACCAAGGTTGCTGACGCTGGTGAGCGTGTCTGGATGTTCTGGCCCTAGCACCTTCTCTCGGTCTTGTAACGTCCGCCGGTGTATGGCTTCGGCTTCTTCGTACTTTC